ATTTGAAACACAAAATCATAAATTATAATTTAATAAATAATCATAAAAATAATATAAAAATAATAAAAAATTTAATTCAATAATATAATCAAACCAAAAACACTGAAATGTGAAATATAGCTCCAAGTTCGCACATTGCTGAGCTCAGTCGCAAAATCGTTTTCAGTGTCTGATGACAATTTCCCCCACGAATCATTATCACTCAATTCTGCAAGTGGTTCTGATTTACTATCGCTGTTCTCTAGCCGGTCTAAAACCGCTTTTGACCTAAAGGGACACTTTTTGGACGCCATGGACATTTCTCAGTTTCCAGGCAGAAAGAACAGACAAAATGCAGGCAGGGCGCCGGACAAAGCACTAGGGACAAAATGTATGTGAAATTGGTTGAGACAGCAATGTTTTACTATGTAAAATGTAAAAAAAAAAAAATGACATTTTTTTAAAATTTTTAAATATCCCCGCCGGCGGCGGCGGCGCCCGTACGTCCCGACGTCACAGGGACAGGACACAGAAGCCGGATGCCGGCATCGGCCGGAGGAGATGGCGGGGACGCTGCAGGGGACACATCGTGGGAGCTCAGGGTAAGGTAAGTGAAGAACACATGCCGGAGCAGTGCCGCATGGTATTCCCGAGTGTAGCTCGGGGTTACCGCTTTTGGTACTGAAATGTTACCCCGAGCTACACTCGGGAATACCGCCAGGGAGGTTAAATGAGATATATACTGACAAACAAAGCAGTATAACAAGCGTATAAAATCCTGAAAAGCAACATTGAAGTGCAAGGCCAGTGACAGTCACAGAGTTCCTTCTGACGCATTTTAAAGGGGGGTCCCTTCTTCCTCAGAGCTAACAAAACCATGAGTGCCCTCTTCTATATATATCATGGAACTAAGACTGAGCCCTCCCAAATGGGCTGGGCAGTCCCAAGAAAGAAGGAGGGGCATAGGTGTCAGCATGGTTTTCTGACACCTATGCCACTCCTTCTTTCTTGGGACAGGTCAGCACATTGGAGAGGATTCAGTCTTAGTTCCATGATATATATAGAAGAGGGCACTCATGGTTTTGTTAGCTCTGATGAAGAAGGGGACCCCCCCTTCGAAACGCGTCAGCTGAACTCTGAGAGACTCCCCTCTTGATGTGACTCGCACTGGTCTTGCACTTCAATGTCCCTTTCAGGATTTTATACGCTTGTTATACTGCTTTGTTTGTGAGTATATATCTCATTTTAATAAAATCACAGTTTTTTATTGAGGTAATGCGCAAAGTTGGTGCACTTTCTTTTTTTTTTTTTCACTTTCAAGCTTTATTATAAGCTTCCCTGTAGGTAAAAGTATACAAAAAAAGTTTCCTACCACTTTAAGGTTAGTCTTTCACAATACTAGCACATTATGACATTACCTTGCAGGGGGGAAGATTTTGGAGTTGCTGATTCTTCCTGCTTTTTGTATCCTGTATCCAGTGTTTGGAGGACACTTTGGAGCAGGGGCGGACTGACCATTTTGAAACCTCGGGCACTGCCCGGGGTAAGTAGGGGGCCCCATGATATACCCCTGGTACCTTTTTCATAGGCTTTTTTGAGTTTGGGCAAGGACACAGGGGCCCCATGATCCCCTATTGCCCGGGGGACCCATGAGTTGTCAGTCCGCCCCTGCTTTGGAGCCTGAGCAACCACCTTGGATCCCAGTGCTGAATATGGTGTGTTTCTTGTCTAAGTGCTGCTTCTCTCCTATCACATTCGTTTGAAGCTGTTATAGCTGCAAAGTGCAGACCAACTCAATATTGAACCCTACGGACTAAGACTGGGATGCCATTAAAGTTCATGTGTGTGGAAGGGCCGGCCGACCAATTATTTTGACAATAGAGTGTACATGGTTCATGGTACATGGGCCATGCTGGACCAATGTAACTGTGTATAAAATGCCATACGTGGATTGTACAGTTACTTTATTGATGGTATTAGGCCTATGCCAATGTATGTTGGAACCTCAGTCTGGTCATATTTTTGCCATATGTTGTGTTGTTAAATAAGGAATTGAAAAAGAAATACAATACCTGGAATTCTTTGGTTTTTTTAAGAGACATTCCCATATGAAGATCGCATAATAAAAAAATATGCTCAAAAAAATGTAAGCGACATGCAGGACCCTTATACATTGCACCACAGTTACCCTTGGTTCACATCTGTGCGGGTGGTGCTGCTGCGGATCCGCACAAAAATCCGTGCAGCCGCACCACCCGCACAGAGGAATGCGGACCCGCGGGCGGGTGCCATTAGTTCACGCCGCCCGCAGTGGAAAACGCAACCGTACTGGGAAATGAGGTGCAGAGACTTCTCTGCGTAACATTCAAATGAATGGGCTCTCATGCCCGTACAAAACGCGGCCCGCGCGGCCGCTTAGATGTGAACCAGGGGTTAGTCCTCAACCTTAGGTCCTGGAGAGCCTCAATCCTTGCACTGCACTGTGCATATATGTACGGTATATACAGAATAGATATTACAGCAACCATGAGGTTCTAAAGCTGAAGTTTAGTTAAAAAACTTTTTTTTCTATGCAGCTTTAGTTACATTACTTACCTATAATGGATGTTCCATAAAGAGCAGACTTATAGATTCTGTAGAAATCTTCACCACAGGGCTGCCTTGTCTCTTCCTGCTGCTGAACCTCTGGTGCTGTGAGGGCTATTAGGTTTGGATCCTTAAGCAGGCATACATGGGTCGAATTGCGAACGATATTTCAATCGAAAACGTCGTTCGTTCTGTAATCCAATGGTATCACCAATGATTTCTAAATCGATAGTTTTTTCATGAATTTTCCAACATGCCCGATAAATGAAATGGGGAGGAACCACGAAAATCGGCCAGTGCCATTGCCCCACTAATTATTAACTATTTCAGACTGTTTCAGAGAAATACAGAGAGTAGAAGCAGAGACAGCAGTATGTGTTGAGATAATTAGGTGTGAGTTGCTCATTAACATTTCTTTTGTTTCCAAGGGTGGGAAAGGTGTCTGGTGGAGGGAGTCATTAAGGCCACCTGGCAGGGGGTCTGCATGAGGAATTTGAGGTGTGAATGGTCATTAACATATATTTTGTTTCCAAGGGTGGGAGAGGTCTGAGGTGTGAATGGTCATTAACATATCTTTTGTTTCCAAGGGTGGGAGAGGTCTGAGGTGTGAATGGTCATTAACATATCTTTTGTTTCCAAGGGTGGGAGAGGTCTGAGGTGTGAATGGTCATTAACATATCTTTTGTTTCAAGGGCAGGAGAGGTCTGAGGTGTGAATGGTCATTAACATATCTTTTGTTTCCAGGGCAGGAGAGGTCTGAGGTGTGAATTGGTCATTACAATGTGTGACAAGCTTGGTAGGAACATCCTGTGTTCAGTGTTTTGTCCATCTGAGCTCCTTGAAAACGCTTTCCATGCATTTTTCATGATGAAAAAAGGCTCTGGACAGCATCGGGAACTTAAAGAGTTAAAAAAAAAATTTAACCGCAAAAACTTATAAACGCAATTTGCTTTTGAAATGCTGATAAAATCGACTGCTGAACGCAAGTTTTCTGCGTTAAAAAAAAAACGACTGTAAACTCAACTGCCTGTAAACGACTGTAAATGAAGATGTGTACATGGACACATAGCAAAACATTAGGGAGAGTTCAGGGGCTGCTGAAAAAAACATTGAACAGTTCCTAAACGTGTTTATCAGCTGCAGTGTACATGAGCCCTTAGGTCTGAAAAAATCGTTCGTAAATTGACCCATGTATGGCCGGCCTTAGGCTCAGCTGCATGTTCAAAGAAGTGAGAGAAACAAATAAAGTTCATTGCTAAGGATTACATACCCTTTATGGGGGGGTAGGATAGTAAGGGCATAGGAACATCATATTTTTAAAATGTGAACCCATCTAATCTCCACTGAGGCCTCATTGGAACGCTTCCATTGGGTCTGTCAAGACTTTGCTGCAGGCTATGTTAGCTCTATACTGTATATAACTTTTAGCTACATCACAATAAAAGAATGTCCCTGGCCCAGCCCGGTACCATGAAACTTCTGAAACTTGCTGAAATTCCTATATCTGAAATAAAACAGCATATAAAAGACATTTCATTAAACCCATTTATCAGGACCACAACAACTCCCAGTCCTCGCGTCTCTCTTATCTCGCATACGATAAGTGTGGAATGTGTTTTTGTGCGTTTTTATATCTGCCGCTACAAGATGAAAGGCCTATCGCTGCCGGATAAGATTGTTCACAAATGTCCAATGATTCCCACCTTGCAAAATCTTTTATTTATGGAAGACCTCTAATTTGACAAGTTTGTATCCAACATAAAAGTAGTTGTAAAGGTAAGTACACCCCATCCAGGGGCAGACTGACCATTTGGAAACTCTGGCACTGCCCGAGGGCCCGGGGTCAGTAGGGGGCCCCATGAGATGCCCCTGGCACCTTTTTCATAGGCTTTTTTGAGTTTGGGCAAGGACACAGGGGCCCCATGATCCCCTATTGCCCTGGGGGCCCCATGAGTTGTCAGTCCGCCCCTGACCCCGTCACAGAGGAAGATAATAGGAATTGCATTGAAGACACTGATGGGTCAGAAGACTGAAGATTTCCCACCATAGATGAGTGGGAATTGTGGGATCTTAACTTTACAGACTGGGGAGTAGGAATGTCCTGTCTCAAATGTCACTTTCTACAAAAGTCAAGACATACTGTACCTCCTTAGACTCAATGTGTATGGACAGTATTGGCCACTTACTGACTCAACAAGGTCTACAGGCAGTTTAACTAACCAAGAAGACTTGGTAGAATCCAGTGTAATTAAATCCAGCTTCACACATACTGTACATGAGGAGTGTTTTCCTGGCCTTTTCTGAAATGAAAACTAACCAGCAAGATGAATGAGAGGTCCACCTCCTCCATTCACAGAGCGATTTTCACTCATGGAAGCAATAGTACGGCCAGGGGCAGACTGACAACTCATGGGGCCCCCAGGCAATAGGGGATCATGGGGCCCCTGTGTCCTTGCCCACACTCAAAGCACACCCAAAAAAAGCCTGTAAAAGGTACCAGGGGAATTTCATGGGGCGCACTACTGACCCCGGGCCCTTGGGCACTGCCCGAGTGCTTGAATGGTCAGTCCGCCCCCGAGTACAGCTTCCATGAATGGAGAAGGTGGGTGCAAGGGGTGAGCATACCTGCACTCTTGACAAGTACATATGATAGGTCCCTCGGCCTGTATTAACCCCCGTGACATAGAAAGACTACCGCTGTGGGGATGGGGGATCAGAGGACTGAAGATGTAAACTAAGACTTTAGCCAGGAGTACAAGGGTCACTTTTCAGTGACAGTAAGTAACATCCTTTGTACTGATATTTAAAAAAAAAAAAAAACTTAGGCTATAAATAGGATTAAATACAAGGTTTGATTTGGGTATCAAATTAAAAAAAGAAAGAAGCCAAGATAAAAAAAGACCATTTGATTTAGAATGTGATTTTGGAGTTTGTTGTGTTTTTTCTTTTATTATATTTCAGGTACTTAGATAGCACCATCAGTCATTTTAACATATATTTTTACAGATATTTGTAAATGCATTCCAAAAATTTAGATTTGTGTTTTTAAAGACATACAGTATATAGGAAATGTATATTTAAAAATATTTTTCATATATTTTTTAATAAAAACACATTTCAACATACAGTATATATATATATATATATTTATTATTATTCAATTTACACAGCACTTTACATATATATTGTACATGACTAGTGCACCCGAAATAGGTTCATCCAGACCCCACTACACCACCGTTACCCTTCCATACCAATCCCCTTTACTTACTATACTTACAGAAAACACAACACCAATTTTGGAGTAAAATGGGCAGCACGGCCTTTTATTAACAAATCAAGTTTAAACACATCAACCATTCCTTATAACAGAAAACATAAAGAATTGTTGTTGGTCTTCGAAGGCACCCCAAAACGATCCGAAATGCACCTGCGGACAACCATATACACTAGGCCTCCAGCCGCAACCAACCAGCTCGGAGACAATCATACCGTCCGCAGTGCAGCACCACCACCTTCCAGTTAAACCTTGGTTAACTGGGAATGTTCCCGGGCACACCATACCAACGATGGGTCCCACACCATTTTGTACCTCCAAATAAGAACCGCCTCCAAAGACCAACCACCGCCCAGGAACCAAAATACCCCCCCAGGAGGAACACAACATTCACCAAACAGGGCGGGCGGGAGGGAAGCTCTCTCTCCCACGTCCAGCTCCCAACTGACGCCCCTCCCCAGAACACCCCACCCTAAAGTGCAGGAGACCCCACCTACACTCTCCTCTACCAACCAGATCCCCCAGCTATCCTTTACCAACTCTAAACAATCATTAACCCTCACACGTCTTCCTTCCCACTCTGGGCCTAGTCATGCCTGCCCTTCGCTAATTCTTTTCTTCTTTTATCGCTGCGGGCATTTCTTTCACATCAGTCCCTAACCCTCAAGGGGTGTACAATCTAAGGTCCCTAACTTACATTCATACATACACATACTAGGGACAATTTAGACAGAAGCCAATTAACCTACCAGGCACAGGGAGAACATGCAAACTCCAGGCAGGAGGTGCCATGGCTGGGATTCAAACCAACGACCCTAGTACTGCCAGGCGGAAGTGCTAACCATTTAACCACTGTGCTGCCTTTACAATGACCTTTCAAAAATTTGTTTTAGAGATCACATATTGTATGCTTTTCTTTACCTTTTCTGGTTTAAGAAGTCACTTGTGGTTTGAACGTTACACCATCTCTGAAAGAGAGTCCGAAAACAAGCAATAAATGTATTATTTATTTATTTATTTAAATTTTCTGTGTTGTCCAAATATGAAAGGCAATATTTTTGGAGCTGACATATCAGAAGCCAATATTGCCCCTCAACCCAGGAATATTTAAACTTCGCAAAGCAAATCGCCTAAATCGCTTGGAATTTCTCAAAGTGGTTTATCTCGCCGTGCTCTTCTTCCTTTCATTCAATGTTGTGCCGTGCCTCTTTGCAGCGCTCCATAGCGGGCGCTGACCTTGCACTCACAAGCAGCCGGCAAATTTTAAAATAGATCGTGCAATGTGAGAACTGCACATTAGTGTGGAAGAGATGTGTCACTGTTCATTAAAATAAAGACATGGCCAGCTTGGGATTATCATGTCATGTGGTAGATGCCCCTGGCACTGCCGGGTAAATATAGCCCTTCAACACCAGCCTGGAACTCACATGTATTGAACTTCCCACCCAGCCCTTTTTTTGGCCCCAGATCGCTCTGTCCCTTTAGGGCTGACGTATGGGTTTACAGAAATACATTCCAAGTAGACTGATAATTAAAACAAAAAAAAAAAACAAAAAAACATTCTCACCCAAATCCAAATGGCTGCTTTGAGTTAAGAATTCACAATTTGAAGTATGTACTGTATGTAGAGTATGTGTCTACTGTTTTCCTACTGTCTACTAGTCTACGAATTCAAGCAGACCCTCCACAATGCATAGACCGGCCAGTGACCTTTTCTTTTTGCAATGAAAGTGGAACTAAACTGAGCACCACAAACTGAAAACACAATTTAATTAATTTTTAATATTCAAAGCAAACTCCCCCATCTATCCGTGTCACCATCCTGTATTTGCTTGATAAACCACTTTAACCGCTCGCCTCCCGCCCTTTAACCACTTGCAGAGACGGACTGACCATTTGGAAACTCAGGCACTGCCCGAGGGCCCGGGGTCAGTAGGGGGCCCCATGAGATACCCTGATACCTTTTTCATAGTTTTTTTTTTTAGTTTGGGCAAGGACACAGGGGCCCCATGATCCCCTATTGCCCGGGGGCCCCATGAGTTGTCAGTCCGCCCCTGACCACTTGCCTACCGAGCACTTTCCCGCCCTTCCTGCCCAGGCCAATTTTCAGCTTTCAGCGCTGTCACACTTTGAATGACAATTGCGCGGTCATGCAACACTGTACCCAAATTAATTTTTTATCATTTTTTTTAGCCAGATAGAGCTTTCTTTTAGTGGTATTTAACCACCGCTGGGGTTTTTATTTTTTTGCTAAACAAACTTTTGAAAAAATAAAGTTTTTTCTTAGTTTCTGTTATAAAATTTTGTAAATATGTAATTTTTCTCCTTCACTGATGTGCGCTAATGAAGCTGCAATGATGGGCACTGATAGGCTGCACCAGGGGCGGACTGACAACTCATGGGGCCCCCGGGCAATAGGGGATCATGGGGCCCCGTGTCCTTGTGCACACCCAAAAAAGCCTATGAAAAAGGTACCAGGGGCATCTCAAGGGGCCCCCTACTGACCCTGGGCCCACGGGCAGTGCCTGAGTTTCCAAATGGTCAGTCCGCCCCTGGGCTGCACTGATGAGCACTGATAGGTGGCACTGATAGGCGGCATTGACAGGCATCACTGGTGGGCATTGACAGGCATCACTGATGGGTACTGAAAGGCAGCACTCATATATGGCACTGATTTGCACTAATAGGCAACACTGACTGGCACTGATAGGCGGCACTGACTGGCACTGTTAGGCGGCACTGATGGGCACTGATAGGCGGCACTGACGGGAACTGATAAGTGGCACTGACTGGCACTGATAGGTGGCACTGATTGGTGGCAGATGGGCACTGATAGGCGGCACTGACTGGCACTGATAGGTGGCACTGAAAGGCAGTTCTGATGGGCACTGATATGTGGCATTAATGTGTTCTGATGGGCACTGATATATGGCATTGATGGGCACTGACAGGTGGCAATGATGGGCACTGACAGGTGGCAATGATGGGCACTGAAAAGCAGCACTGATGGGGCTACACTGATGATCAGTGTAGATGTCCTCTCTGAGGAATGCCGGCTCGCCTCTCCTCCCATGTTGTCAGCGTGTGGAGAGGACTACCAATAACCGGCATTTCCTGTTTACATGCGATCACTGTGATCAGACACACGCTGATCACATGATAGAGCCTGTGTCATCGGCTCTTTACTATGGTCGGTGATCTGATGTGTTCCAGAGACACAGTGCACCACCGATCGCCGCGCTGTGCCCCCTGGAAGCGCCCATGCGTAGCTAGAGTGGGAGGACGTCATATGACGTCCTCCCAGAACAAGAGAGCCATCTCCCGCCTGTCATTTCCTTATGAGGCGGTTAAAAATGTACTTCTAATAATTGTAGCAGGGGATATTTTATTATTAAAGTGTATGTAATGCCAGAACTTTTTGTCATAGAGCAGTGGTCTCCAAACTTTCTAAACAAAGGGCCAGTATACTTTTTGGGGGCCAAACTGAGACCAATGGGAGTAGCTGCCTGGCAGTAATAGGGTCGTTGATCCGAATCCCAACCATGGTACCACCTGCCTGGAGTTTGCATGTTCTCCCTGTGCCTGTGTGGGTTTCCTCCAGGTACTCCGGTTTCCTCCCACATCCTACATGCTGGTAGGTGAATTGGCTCCTGTCTAAATTGTACCTAGTATGTGTATGTATGAATGCGAGTTAGGGACCTTAGATTGTACGCCCCTTGAGGGTTAGGGACTGATGTGAATGTACAATATATATGTAAAGTGCTGTGTAAATTGATGGCGATATATAAGTACCTGAAATAAATAAATAAAATGTCCTGGTGTCAGTGGGAGTAAACAATGCCTCGGCATTGATGTCAGTGGTAGGAATAGTGCCCAATTGTTGGTGTCAGTGGAAGGAATAGTGCCCCATCGTTGGTGTTAGTTGGATGAATTGTGCCCCATTGTTGGTGTCACTGGGAGGAATGGTGCCCCTTCATCGGTGTCATTGGAAGGACTTATGCCCAATTGTTGGTGTCAGTGGAAGGAATAGTGCCCCATCGTTGGTGTTAGTGGGATAAATTGTGCCCCATTGTTGGTGTTGTTGGGAGGAATTGTGCCCCTTCATCAGTGTCATTGGAAGTACGTATGCCCAATTGTTCGTGTCAATAGGAGGACACATGCCCAATTGTTGGTGTCAGTGGATGGAATAGTGCCCCAAGGGCCAGATAAAAGCAAGCAGAAGGCCACATCCGGCCCCTGGGCCGCAGTTTGGAGACCACTGTTATAGAGTGTTGAGGGAATATGCAAAATGTTGATCTGTCACAGAAAAGGAACAGAGGGGACATTTTTCAATGGGGACACCTGTTCCAGTAACAACTATTTAAGAGGGGATTCCTCTAATTTCGTGTTGTGTGTACCAGGGGCGGACTGACAACTCATGGGGCCCCAGGCAATAGGGGATCATGGGGCCCCTGTGTCCTTGCCCACACTCAAAAAGCCTATAAAAAGGTACCCGGGGAATTTCATGGGGCCCCTTACTGACCCCGGGCCCTCGGCAGTGCCCGAGTGCTCGAATGGTCAGTCCGCCCCTGGTGTGCACTGGATAGGAAGTGAAGGGAAGTGATTATTCGCCGGCATCTGGTGATCACCAAGTATTACTGACGGAGGGAGAGAACTGTATGTAAACAACACAGATCTCTCCCCTGTCAGCTCCTGCACACTGCTTTGTTTGGCTCTGCATAGCAGAGCCAGGCAAAGCAGTGTGCTTACAGTTAAAGCACACACACAGCACACATAGTAAAACACACACACAGCACAGAGTTAACTCTTTGATCGTCCAGATGTTAACCCCTTCCTGCCCAGTGCCTTTTTATTAGCACTGATCACTGTATTGGTGTCACTGAGGATGTCAATGACACCAAGTCAGTTCCCCCCAGTGTGTCAGAATGCCCGCCACAGTCCTGCAGTCCCGCTATAAGTGGCTGATTGCCGCCATTACTAGTAAAAATAAAAAAAATTTAAAATCCCAGTATATATACCGCCATTTGTAAACACTATAACTTTTACGTAAACCAATTCATTTACACGTATTGGGATTTTTTTTTAGCAAAGACACGGAGCAGAATACATTTTGGTCTAAATTTATGACGAATTTGGTATTTTTTTTTTAAAAAAATTTTACTGGACGTTTAATAGCAAAAATTAAAAATTATAGTTTTTTTTCTCAAAATTGTCGGCCATTTTTTTATATAGCACAAAAAATAAAAAACGCAGAAGCGATCAATTACCTCCGAAATAAAGCTCTATTCATGGGGAAAAAAGGATGTAATTTTTAATTGGGGGGCAGCGTTGCATGATGGCGCAATTGTCAATTAAAGTAACGCAGTGCCATATTGCAAAAAAATTGCCTGGACAGGAAGGGGGGGGGGGGGTAAATCCGCAGAAGGGCAAGTGGTTAAATCATTTACCCAGCCAAAAGCAGTAAGTTCTAACCTAGCATCTATTTACCAAAATGGTGAAAAGAAAATACATGGAAACAAAGAAGAACCAAGAATTGTTACACTTTGTTTTTTGTTTTTTAAAAGTACACACGATGAAAAATAAAACAGTAGGCTGAGCTGGATCTCTCTGTACTCGTTGGCGTTGGAGAGGCTCTTGTTGCTTTTACTTCGGCGTATATCGCGGCGGATTGCATGTATCTGTTACGGCATTGCTCGGTGAGTAACGGGTCAGTTTAATGTTGATACATTTTGAATTACATTGTTGTCGTATCATTCCAGGCAGCGTGCCAAATGCCATTGTTATAGCAACAGTCGACGAATCCTGCCAGACGGACTGGAGATCGCTCTTGTGCAACTCGCGGCGTGGCAGATCGCCAGGGCTTCTAGTGGGTTGCTTTTTCATTTTTGAAGTGTTTTATCGGGAGAGAGGAAGCAAAGACAGAGAAAGATCAATGGCCCCCGAACATCTACTAGACTGGGGTTGAGAAGTGGAAGTTGCAGCCTCTTAAAGTTAAACGCTTCTCCATCCGTTGACTACAAGTCTCAGCACGCCTATTGTGAAATTTTCAGGCACTTCTTCCCCCATTGGTCAAGTTTTGTTTACCGCAATTTGGGCACAAATCTGACGACTTTCACCATCTTTGGCAAAATCCATTGGTGTCAACCTGGAAGTCCAAATTAAAGTCCTTATAAGTAGTTTAAAAATCTGACCGACCCAATGTCATCGCAGCTCTTGTTTCCACCCCCAACCCATAAGCTCACCACAGTTTTTTTTTAATTATACGTTTTTTAAAAAATTAATGAAGAGTTTTGGATTGCCGCTCAGGTCCTTGTATCCAGGTCCAGTGGACTCACATTATGGGTGCTGGCTCGCAGTAAGGGTTCATCCTGGCTCTGCATATACTAACAGAAGAGAAAGTCCCAAACGCCACACTCCAGAGAAACGCAATGGTCATGCAAGTAAAAGCAGCCCCAGCCTTGCTCCACCTAGGCCATAGTCCTCAACGCATTTCTCCAAGCCGCCTTTGGGGCTTAGTTATGGAGGTCCATCTCCATCTCCATGACTAAGCCACGAGGCAGGGCAAAACATGTCAGTGGTGTGGCCTTGACGGAGTGAGGTTGAGGCTGCTTTTACTTGCATGACCATCGGGTTTCTCTGGAGTGTGGTTTTCGAGACTTTCTCTTCTCCTAGTCACAGTAAGGGTTCATCCTGGCTCTGCATATACTAACAGAAGAGAAAGTCCCGAAGGCCGCACTCTAGAGAAACTCAATGGTCATGCAAGTAAAAGCAGCCCCAACCTTTCTCCGCCATGGCCCTCAAAGCATTTCTCCCAGCCTTTGGGGCTTAGTCATGGAGGTCCACCTCCATCTCCATAACTAAGTCATGATGCAGGGCAAAACACGTTAGTAGTGTGGCCTTGACAGAGCTAGGCTGAGGCTGCTTTTACTTGCATGACCAGTGAGTTTCTCTGGAGTGTGGTGTTCGGGACTTTCTCTTCTCCTGGTCACATGATGTGTTAGTTCCTCTTCCTCTACAGTATTTCCAGGCAGACTCACCGTGTTTTTTTTCCAGGATACTTACCTCTTTCAAACGTTTTAAGGCTGGTCACATGACATGTTGGGTCCTTTTCCTCTCCCAGTGGGTGAATGGACAGGCCCATGGAGCCCTACAGGCACAAAATCCCCTTAGACCTCCAGGTCAAACCATGCTGGCCGTCACCCAAGAGTAAGAGCATCATGGGGCAAAAAAAGTCCTGCGGGGGGAAAACTCTGCATTGGAGGTGAGTATTGCAGCCTGAACTATTTTCTTTATTTAACCTGTTAGGGGAATTGAACTTTAAGGTGTATTTTTAAAGGTGCAGCGGGCTTTAAATGGCTCCCAAGTGTTACTGAAGCTCCTTTCATCTGTCCTGGACATGTCCCTGTGTCAATTATCCAAGTCTCAGCACAGCTATTGTGAAATCTGATGCATTGCTTCACAGTTTTGTCAAGTTTTGCTTCCTGTAATTTGAGCAAAAATCAGAATACTTTAGTCAAATTTCACAGGTTTTGGCAAAATGTATTGGTGTCAATCTGGAATACAAACTTAAAGCACCCATAAGTGGTTTAAAAGGTGACTGACCCTATGCCGTCAGCCCCCACACCCTTCATCCCTCTTAACCCCTCCCCCCCCCTCAGCCCCAACTCATGAGCCCACCACAGAATTTCTTTTAATTATTTTGCCTTTTTTCCATAATTTTGATGTGTTGGTTCCTCTTCCTCTACAGCAGGGATGTCAAACTCCATTTCATCGTGGGCCATATCACCATTATGATTGCCCTCCTAGGGCCAGTTGTATCTGTAAGACTAGATGTTCAGAGCACTCCACCCCCCTACAGCAGATGTCAAGAATCCCACACCCTCCCTAACATCACAGTGCACCCCCTTTGGGGGCAGAGCTGAAAATCAGAAAGTGCAGGGTCTGAAGGAGGACAAGAGGAGGAGTGGAGTCAGTTACCAGAGTCTGCTGAATGCTGAGACCAGGGGAGGCAGAAATGAGAAGTGCAGGATTTGGCAGAGGAGTTCTATTCTCCTCTCTGCTGCTGACTGCTGAGATAAGGTGGGGGAGGAGACAAGGTGGTACCTGCAGGAGAGGTGTAAGGGCCACATGAAATAGCCTGGAGGGTTGGATTCGGGTCTTGTGCTTGACACCTGTGCTCTACAGTATACCAGGGTGGACCACAGTATTTATTTCCAGGATACGTAACTCTTTCAAATGTTTTTAGGCTGGTCACATGACAAGGTGGGTCCTCTTCCTCTTCAGTATTCTCCCAGTGCGTGAATATACCAGCCCACTGCACCCTCCACAGGCACAGTATCCTCTTAGTCTTCCAGGTCAAAACATGCAGGCCATTATTCAAGATTGAAGGCATCTTGTGGCGAAAAAGGGAAGGGGGCACTCTGCATTGAAGCTGAGTGCAGCCCGAGTTTCAATTTCAATAGGTTTGCCCAGAGTTGAGCTTTACGGTTGTTTTGTAAGGATGCAATGGCTTTAAATGGCTCCCGGGGGTTACAGAAGCTCCCTTCACCTATCCTGGACCTGCTTTTGTGCTAGTAATCTTGAACCCCTTATTAGCCCCATTACTTTATTCTATATACAGAAATAAAAAACTGTATAAAAAATGTAAAGAAAAAAATGTTTTTTGCGCTCCCATACACAGTACCTAACTATTAATTACACTCAAATGGCATGATACAGTGAGGAACAGAAGTATTTGAACACCCTGCTATTTTGCAAGTTCTCCTTCTTAGAAATCATGGAGGGGTCCGAAATTCACATTGTAGATGCATTCCCACTCTGAGAGACAAAATTTAACAAAAACATTCAGGAAATCACATTGTATGATTTTTAAAGAATTTATTTGTCTTGCACTGCTGAACATAGGTATTTGAACACCTAAGAAACAGCAAGAATTCTGGCTCTCAAAGACCTGTTACTGTGCCTTTAAAAAATCCACCTCTACTCCACTCATTAATCTAACTTAGTAGCACCTGTCTGAGCTCTTTAAAGACACCTGTCCACCCCACAGTCAGTCAGACGCCAACTACTACCATGGGCAAGACCAAAGAGCTGTCAAAAGACACCAGAGACAAAATTGTGGACCTCCACAAGGCTGGAAAGGGCTACGGGGCAATTGCCAAGCAGCTTGGTGAAAATAGATCAACTGTTGGAGCCATTGTTAGAAAATGGAAGAGGCTAAAGACGACTGTCAGTCTCCCTCGGACTGGGGCTCCATGCAAGATGTCCCCTCGTGGGGTATCACTGATGATAAGAAAGGTGAGGAATCAGCCCAGAACTACAAGGGAGGAGCTGGTCAATGACATGAAGAGAGCTGGGACCACGGTTTCAAAGGTCACTGTCAGTAGAACACTACGCCGTCATGGTTTCAAATCATGTATTGCACGGAAGGTTCCCCTGCTCAAGTCATCACATGTCCAGGCCCGTCTGAAGTTTGCCAATGACCATCTGGATGATCCAGAGTAGGCATGGGAGAAAGTCATGTGGTCAGATGAGACCAAAGTAGAACTTTTTGGTCTAAACTTCACTCGTCGTGTTTGGAGGAAAAAGAAGGAT